TGTGTGTGTGTGTGTGTGTGTGTGTGTGTGTGTTCTCTAGCCCAGTTGACCTCGAATTCATTAAATAACCAAGAATGACTTAAAACGCCTAGTTTGTGCAGGGCCTGGTACTATATCAACTAGGGCTCCCTATTTTCTGAGTTGAGCTGAGTACATTGTATTTGAAGTTGCCTGTGGATTTAAATCGTCATTGTCTCTAGTTCCCTTTCTTTCAGATTTTTTGCTTGGAAAACAACAGATTTGCACTTTTAAAGCTGTGGTTTCTCCAATCCTCAAGACTATTCCAATCAACACTGTCCTGCAACACATCTGAGTGATTACCACGTGGACGGGAGTCTTTTGCTTCTACCTAGACTACTTTTGAACTGTCTTAAAGGTTTCTGTGAAGTGTAAACCGTTCAACAGTTACAGTGTATTTACATAGGATTTAACTCCCAGGGGCCTGCTGTAAACACTTTACCTATCTAAACTGTCTATCACCGAGAGTAGTATTAAGCATTTCTCTTTTCTAGGGAGAAAACTGAAGCACAAAGGTGCGATCAAGTTGTTTGAAATCACTGTATCTATAGTGAATTAGGTGATCAGTTGTTTGAAATCACCATATATGTAGTGAACTAAGGGTTTGAACTTGAACTAAACTGTTTTCAGAAAGAGTACCTAATGATGGATAGGAAATTACCTCTAAATGTCACTTTGATACTTACTCCCTTTCAATTAAAAAAAGCAAGTGCTCCATATATCCTTTCTGGGCAAAATCCCATAGTGAGAAGGACATATGTTTTCAGTCAGGTGTCAAGGTACTCGGAAATTGAACTCTTCATGGTCATAAGATGCTATGTATCAACTGAAACAATAGAACTAATACGATTGGCACCTCTGCTCGCACTCTTAGATAGGCAGTGAGCAACCAGCAATTAAATTCGGAATACCTGGAGATACTGTCAGAACCCTCAAATAAAGAACTCTGGTCTACAAGACTGCCTCTTACTCTGGATGCCTCTTAGGATTTGGAACCTCTGGACTTTCTGGTCTATCTGCTCTGTAGACATTCTCACGGCTCGTGATCCAACTCAATCTGCTACAATGGCTCACTTAACCCAGGGATGCACTATACTTGTATATACCAGTTTATTACAAAGGACAAGATGAAGTGCACAGAAGAGCAGTCAAAGGAGACAGACAGACAGTGAAGTATGTGATAAGGGGGCTTCCATGTCCATTCTGGGTGAAACAGCCTCAGAATCCATCTTAGAGTTTGGGGGTCGATTCAGTCAGTGAATTGCTTGCAGCATAAGTGAGGACCTGAGTTTGGCTCTCCAGCACCCATGTAAAAAGTCAGGCAGGAGGATATATCACTTGTAATCTCAGCAGAAGGAGAGGCATGAAGATCCCTGGGGTTTCCTGGATTGCTAGTCTAGCCAAGTCATAAGATGAGAGACTTGTTTCAAAACTAAGATAAGGGGCCTAGAAAGACCGTCCAGCAGTTAAGAGCACATGATACTCTTTCAGAGTTCTCAGCACCCACATGGCACTCACAGCCATCTGTAACTCCAGTTCCAGAGGATCCGATGCCCTCCTTCAGCATCTGTCGGTAGTAGGCATGTACATGGTGCGTATACATAAACAGTCATATACATAAAATAAAATAAATCTTTTTAAGCATGGCATGATAATCCATGCCTTTAATCCCAGCACCCAGAAGGCAGAGTCAGATGGATCTCTGTGAGTTCAAGGATATATAAATGATGGAGATGGGACAGGCAAAATGGCTCATCTAGCAAAGTGTTTGTCGTGAAAGCACAAAGACCTGAATTTGAACACCAGAACATATGTAAAGATGGAAGGAGGGGCTAGGCAGTGGCGCCTGCCTTTAATCCCAGCACTTGGGAGTCTGAGGCAGGTGGATCTCTGTGAGTTCGAGGCCAACCTGGTCTACAGAGCTAGTTCCAGGACAGTCAGGGCTACACATAGAAACCCTGTCTCTATGTTTTTGTTCTGCATTTTTTGCATACACGGGGATGCATGGTGCCATAGTATGCCAGAACTGGAGTTATAGATGATTGTGAGTCACCCTGTGAGTACTGAGACTCACACCCCTGCCCTCAGGAAGAGCAGTCAGTGCTCTCACCACTGAACCATCTCTCCAGTCCCTGTCTTAGGGTTTCCATTGCTGTGACAAGACACTGTGACCATGGCAACTCTTTTTTGTCATCATTTATTTTATAATTTATTATTTGTATTTGATGTACATTACAGACAGTTGTGAGCTGCCATATGGATGCTGGGAATTGAGCCCAGGTCCTCTGGAAGAGCAGTCAGTGCTCTTAACCACTGAGCCATCTCTCCAGCAGCACAGCCCCATGGCAACTCTTCTAAAGGGAAATATCTAATTGGGGTGGCTCACTTACAGTTTCAGAGGTTCAGTCCTTTAGTATCGTGGCAGGGAGCATGGCAGCGTGCAGACATGGTACTGAAATAGTAGCTGAAGTCCTACATCTTGCAGGCAACAGGAAGCCAGTTGAAACATAGGGCAGTATCCTGAGCATAGGAAACCTCAAAGCCTACTCCCACAGTGACACACTTCCTCCAACAAGGCCATACCCACTCCAACAAAGTCACACTTCCTAATAGTGCCACACCCTATTACTGTGATATTGTGGGCCAATTACCTTCAAACTACCACACCCTCTTTTCAGGGATTTTATGGAAGCTTCGTTACATAGGTATCATGGATGAAAAATATTGGCTATGAGTCTTTTCTTTCCCCTAAGAGTGGTCATAGGACCAAATTATCCTTTTAAAGCTTTCATTTTAATCTCTCTGTGAAAACTCTCTGTCCATTGACTTGCTGGTATGCAAAGAGAAAACGTCACTCTGGAGATTCCAATAGGGCAAGGAACTATTTAAATAGTTTTCTCTATTTGGTTTTTTTTTTGTTTGTTTGAGTTTATCTGGAGTTTGGTTTCTCTGTGTAGCCTTGACTATCCTAGAACTCACTCTGGCCTCCAACTCAGAGATCCACATGTCTCTGACTCTCGAGTACTGAGATTAAAGGCAAGCACCACCACTGCCCAACAAAATCTTAATATTTTAACTACACTGTGGGATCAGATAAAAGAGTATATAGGTTGAGTAACGAGCAATTTACCCAGGAAAAAGATGGGGCATCAAAATAACTTAGCAGGCAGGAGATGTAGTTCAGTTAGTGGAGTGCTTGCCTATTGAGCTTTGGGGTTCCATCTCCAGCACTGCTGCAGGGGCACACCTGCTTTCCCACACCTGCAAGGTGGAAATAGGAAAATCAGGGGTTCAAGACATCTTCCTTGACATAATGATCTTTAAGACCAATCTGGATTACTTGAGACTCTTTCAAAAACAGCAAGAGCTCAAAGGTTAAGAGCACTGATTGCTTTTCCAGAAGACCTAGGTTCAATTCGCAGCACCCAAACTGAGGCTATCAAACATGTAACTCTAGTCTCAAAGGATTCTAGCGCCCCACCTGGACTCCACAGGTACTGCACATAGGTGGTGCATAGACATACCCGCAGGTGCATAGACATACCCGCATACTCATACCCACAAAATAAAAATAATAAATCTCAACCAGCAACAACAAACCTTAGACCACGTTTCCAGCAGCGTCAGTACAGAAGCTTGGTGTTACTTGGTTGAAAATGATAACAAGATTCTGCTGTCTCAGACTCCCCGAATTTAGTCAATGGCTATTTTGAACCCTTTCTCTCGCTCACCATACTTTGTGGTCTGAACTCTAAATCTTCTGTACTTTCTCAGATGGATGCTATTTTTTTCTCTACTACTTAGGAAGAGTGGCTAGGGCCAGACAGTATTATAAGACCTTGGTAAAAAACAAAACTCACCTGACAAAATCTAGGTTTTTCAGACATTTGAGACAGGAATTTTAGGGACACGGGCAGCGTTTTGGACTGGGACTTTCCACAAGCGACATCACTGAAAAAACAACCCATAGGAAACTACCTTCACATATCCTAGACCTTTGGCTCAGCTGTTCACCACAAATGTGGTGAGGTGTTTTACGCTCAGCTGGTATTTGGGCTGTTATCTTCTCCTTTTTGTTCACTTAATAGATCTCTGAGGAGTCAATGAATGGCGCTCCCTAAGGTCAGTGTTTAATTAATTGCCTTGGTCTGGCTGCTATAGTATTACAACTCTTGAAATAAATAGCATCGATTGTACTATAAAATTTGCTTTAAGCTTGCCAACACGCCGGACATCGCATTCCAGCGACTGTTAAGTCATTTGGAGTGCCAGGTTCATTTTGCAGTTTACTATCTGGGTGAGCAGTGGCCAGATGCGCGGGACCTAGGGAGGACAAGATTGGGTCCCTCTCTTGTCCATCATCCTGAGGCTCCAGGCGGGACTGTTTTGCAGTGTGATTTGGAAACTGGCCCCACCTCTGGAAAGTGAAGGGGCGGTGCGGAGGCGGGGAAAAACATGGATCTCTCTTTTCATTGGATCCCTGTCAAGTCAGTCAAACCTCTGCTTTGTTCCCGTTGGCGAGAAGACTCCAGGCAGGTAGCGTGCACGCCGTGTTGGCCCCTCCCGGGGTGGGACC